AGTCTATTCTGGGCCCCGCCACAGCATTGCAGTCTATTCTGGGCCCCGCCAGAGCGTTGCACTCTATTCTGGGCCCCACCAGAGCGTTGCACTCTATTCTGGGCCCAGCCACAGCATTGCAGTCTATTCTGTGCCCCATCAGAGCGTTGCAGTCTATTCTGGGCCCCACCAGAGCATTGCACTCTATTCTGGGCCCAGCCACAGCATTGCAGTCTATTCTGGGCCCCGCCACAGCGTTGCAGTCTATTCTGGGCCCCGCCAGAGTGTTGCAGTCTATTCCGGGCCCCATCAGAGCGTTCCAGTCTATTCTGGGCCCCATCAGAGTGTTGCAGTCTATTCCGGGCCCCATCAGAGCGTTGCAGTCTATTCTGGGCCCTATGCCTCAGGATGTATAGACATGGACAGACCTCTGCACATTCACTAGAATGATGAGGACAGGTTGTATTATCCAGACTTATGTATTCCTTTGTATGTAGAATATTAAAGGGTGAACTAATTGAGGGGTTTAAAGGATGTTTTAGTGATAAATTATCTGTGGTGGAGAGTGATGAACACAGGTTCATAACCTTAAATTACAGATGAGCTATTCAGAGGGATGGCAGGCAACACCTTCACATTAAGAGCAGTCAAAATTTGGAACCCCACATCAAAAAGTTTCGAGCCCATAGAGTTGTGGGGGGGTGCAGAATTGAATTCAAAATTTCAAAATTGCGATTGGTAGACTCGTGTCAGGCAAAGATACTGAGGAAGATGAGCCTTGGTGGGAAAGCACAGTTAAAGGCCAGATCTGCCAAAGTCTGATTGATGGTGACCAGGTTCAAGAGGCTCAACTGACTGTCACAAACAAAATATCAGAAAGGCGAGAAGTTGGAAGAACTTGCACCAAACTTCTCTCAAAGCTGGGAGTTCAATTGGGTAAAATGATACCAGAGAGAATGACTAAAGTGTAATTTACAAGTGGAAATCTTTTGAGAGAAGCAAATGGTTGAGAAACCCTGTGCTGTTTCTCATATGTAATCCTAATGGGTCTCAGAAGAGTAGATGTGGAGAGGATGTTTCCATTTGTGGCACAATCCAGAGCTAGGGGTCACTGTTTAAAAATCAGGGATTGTCTATTTAAAACAGAAATGAGGTGAAATTCTTTCTCTGCGTGTTGATATACTTTGTACTTGCTTCCTCAAAAGGTGATGGAAGCAGAGTCCTTGAATATTTTTCAGTCAGAGGTAGATCAATTCTTGTTCAACAAGGGAGGTAAAAGGTTATTGGGGGTAGGCAGGAGTGTGGATTTGAGGTTACAATCAGATTGAATGGCAGACCAGTCTTGAGGGGCTGAATGGCCTACTCCTAGTTCCTATACAGTGCCATATGTGCATATTGATAACGTACACATGGTGACAAATCCCTGTATGGATAATACACATTGCAGTTTATTCCTTTGTATTTAATGTAAGAGCCGCACTTGACTTTCAATGACCTGTGACGAGATGCCAGGTTCAGAATTCCAGTGTTGCTCTGTTATAACAAGAGGCTTGTGTTGCTTGTGCCTTCTTTTTAATCCTTATGGTTATTCGTGTTGGTTTCCTCTGTTTATAGACGTTTTGTGGGAACTGCTCTTCCGGATTCCCTGGAGCCCAGGCATTCACGGGGATGAAGGTGGAGCAAATCGAACATGGCACTCCCGGTGCAGCTGGTGTGGATCACTGTGAAAAGGTCAGTAAGGTCTCTGGGCCCAGCCTTTACCTTACAGCCTGTCCAGGAGAAGGCAGTGGTGTTCCCATCAGGATTTCATGCCCTGCACCATTTTAACAGCTGCCTTTCAATGAGGCTATGACACTTTGATGTTTTCAAACTCCCCTCTTCAAAAGTTGACCAAATTCAATGTTGCACATTTTCTTGGTTTTAATTCTCATCTAGTTTGGTTTCATTTGCACATTTCAGTATTGAGTTACTCACTCTTCAGTCCAAATCAAATGCAAGTTATGAATAGTAGTAATCACAACACTAATCTTTTGGAATACTGCTTTCTTGCCATCTTTCAATCAGAAAAACTACCCTTTATATTGACTTATCTTTCATGGTCACCATGTCAGCGGACCTTTAAGAGACAGGCTCATGATATCATCACTGCATCATAACATGTGACCTGAGCATATAAATGCCTTGGACTCCATCTCACCTTAAATCACTTGAAGTATGATGCTCTTGTGGAAACTTGCTGCTCTGTTGTAACTTACCAGTTTAATATTACACCAGTCACTTGTGTGCCTGAGCAATGTGATGCTTGTCCGTAATTGTTAGCTGTATTGGTGTCTGTTTTCTTTCTTTTTACTTTCATGGGATGTGGGTGTCGTTGGAAACGTTAGCATGTATTGCCCATCCTAATTGCCCTTCTCTGAGTGGCTTGTGAGGGCCATATCAGAGGGCAGTTAAGAGTTCATTACGTTACAGTAGGTCTGGAATCACACATAGGCCAGAACAGATAGGGAAGGCAGATTTCTTTCCCTAAAGGATGTTAGTGAAGTGGATGGTTATTTTAATATACTGATCAATGGTAGGTCCATAGTCACCATTGCTGAGACAAGCTTTTCAATTCCAGATTGATGAACTGAATTCACATATCATCAGCTGCTATGTTGGGATTTGAACATATATCCCTCAGGTGATTAGCTTTATGGCTCTCCATTACGAGCCCAGTGACCTTACCACCATCTTGCCCCAAATCTGTCCCCCAATCTCTTGCACTCTTCTTTACTGTGATATCCTCATCCAGTTACAGGAGGTAACACAAACATTGTCACATCTAATGAAACACCCTGCAGGAGGCAAATTCAACACCGTTTTATCAACTAGAAAGAGTTTTAGGCCATTTTAATTATTTGTATCATTGGGGAAGAAGTGATGGCTCAATGTTGAGTGTAACAATCCATTCAGCACTTTCAGCTAACTCAGTGTGAATGGCTGTGAGACCACTAGGAGGGATATCTCAGGACAGAAGTTTTAATGAGTAATGGTCAGACGTGGATGGAACAGTCACAATTTGAGCTGTTCCTCACGTTCCACTTGTGGGTTAAGTGTCCACATCTTCCCTGGGCCATTCTTAAATCCTTGAGATTTGCCCAGATTTCCCATGGAAGGTTGAAATCTATGATGTTGTTACTTGGGTCAGTTGCCAGGTTTAAGTTGGTGACGTTTGCAGTCAACCAGAGGATACTTGGTCAAGAGATGGGGCTGTCGCTGGTTTGTTGGGGTGGAGTGTGTTGTAGAGGGGAGTACAGTGGCAGAGCATCAGTGGCAGCATTGGCAGTGCCCGGAGTGGGGAATCCTTGGCGTCATCATTGCTGTACCCGGAATGGGACTCTTTGAGGCCGAGAACATCTTACAGAGACTTGGCAGAAGCTCTGGAGCCACATTTGAGACCCAAATTGAACAGAAGAAGAACTCTATTTAAGTGATTTCTTTTTATTCTTTTTGTAACTCAAAATGATGCTGGATTGTGGTGACAAAACACTTTTCAGTGTATCTTCCTAGATATATGTGACTATTGTGAAGTTGAAAAGAGTGCTTGTGATTTAGAAGGCAGGGATGTTAGATTTTACTTGTAATAATGATAGGGGAATGAGTGCACGGTCCCTTTAAAAAGTGATGTGCTTTTCTTAGCTTGGACAAATAAAAAATATGTTTGCAAGCAGCTGCTGTTGCACAGAGAGTTCTGAAATTGAAACATCCGGCTTTGTGGTTGGCAACCTAGGCTTGTTTTGATGATAAGGCAATCAGCTTGAATATCAGCCAATTAATTTAAACCAGCCACTTAGAGACTGAAAACCAATTGAATTTAAATCTGATGGTGTTGACAATCTCAGACCAATCCTATTATAAGAAAATTGACAGGTCATCAAGGATATATAAGAAGAGGGGTTTTTATTTTAAAAAATCCATGTGAGCGCGAACTGCAATCAGAAGAGTAAATCTCTTGCTATCAGAGAAATCTCTAGGCTCTCTGATTAAGCACCATCTAAATAAGGATACTGAGGCACTCTTAGATAAGATTCCTGACCCCAGAATGTAGAACTAGAAAATATCAGAGAAAAGTGTTCCTGATGAGAGAACAGCGAAGAAAGGTGTTCATGACCAGGAAACAGCCGAGAAGGCAAAGAACATTCCAGAAGACTTAACCTGGTCGTGCTTTTGAGAGTCAAAGTTTTAATTTATTTGTCTTATTACTTTGTTTTATATAAGCGGGAGTTGTATTTACTGGAACAGCACACCTTTTAGAATTTGGTTTTATTCTGGAATAGTTAGTATTGTTAGGTTTGTTAATAGGTCTGTTAATTTGTTCACTGTTAGAGTTAGATAAATAAATTGTTACCTGTTGCTTCTAAGGTGAGTATCAGGAATTGTTTTCATGTAACATCTCCTTTATAACAGATTGGGAGGCGAAAGGCAGGTTTTACCACTTTCCCATTTCCTCTAACAGATTATGAGGTGAGGTGAGCTTCTCTGGATGTTTGGGTTTTAATTATCAGAGAGGTATCGTTCTCCCCTCCATGATAGATTGTGGGCTCAAGTCTGGGATCTGGCCAGTTTGACTATGGGTTCTGAACAAATCTGGGGTACGAAAGCTTCCAGCAGATTTAAACAGACTTGGGGATTAGTGTCCTAGATCTTTAAATAAAGCTTAGAGGAGAAGTGGAAAATCTATTTCATTTTGGTGACTTGTGTTTGGTTAAATCAAAAGTGGGGGAAATGGCTCTTAACATTGCTAAAGATGTTCAGGGATCCGAGGATACTTCCCAAATTTGCCAGAAAAGTTTAGGAGGCCAGAGAAAGGACTTTTACACTTAGCAAACAGCCTAAATTTAAGTTTAACTAGGAAACCTGAAATTGTAAAGGAGTTACTCAAGCATTTAAGTATACCAGAGAAACAGGCAAGTGCGGTGGAACGAGAAAAAAATCTGACAATTAGACAATTGAAGTTGGAAGATAAAGAAGAGCCAGGGTAGAAGAGAAAGAAGGGGAACTGAAACAGTTGTAATTACAGTTACAAGCAGACAGAAGAAAGGTGAAGAAGGGAGGGAAAGGGGAAAAAAGAGGGAGAAGAAAGGGAAAGAATGTTCGAGTTGGAACTTGAAGCAAAATGACTTCAAATGGCAGAAGGAAAAGTACAAGATAGAAGTGAGGATAAGCAAACACATCATTGCCAACAGCTGAGTAGGGATATATACAAATATGTCCAAACATTACCAAATTTGATGAAAAAGATGTAGAAGTTTTTTTTTAATTTCCTTTGAGAAATTGGCATACAGATGAGCTAGCCAGAGTCTATGTGGCTGCTGTAAGTTCAGACCAAGTTGGTAGGCAGTGCTGTCAAAGGAGGTGTCAGGAGAATATGAAGGAGTAAAAAAGCCTGTTCTGAGTGCCTCTGCCCAGTACATCAGTGTTAAACGTATGACCAATGGGGAGTTCCAAACCTCAGTATACAGGAAATCAACCCATACAGATCAAATCCTCAACTTCAACAGCAACTACCCCAACGCCCACAAACAAAGCTGCATTAGGACACTATTTAAACGGGCCAGGATACACTGTAACACTCCGGAACTACGCAGGAAAGAAGAAGAACACTTATACAAAATCCTCGCTATAAACGGATATCCCCTTCATCCGCAGCAACTTCATCGCAGATGCCTACTAAACAGACAACAGGAGGACACAGTACGCCCTAACACACTGGCCACACTGCCCTACATCAAGAACATATCAGAACTCCTACGACCACTAGGAATCATGGTGGCCCATAAGCTCACAACCACTTTACGACAAACACTTACAAGGATTAAAGACTCCATTCCCACACGCAGAAGCAACTTAGTTTACAAAATACCATGCAACGACTGCCACAAACATTACATCGGACACTCAGGAAGGAAACGCCATCAGAATACACGAACATCAGCTAGCAGCAAAATGGCATGGTGAACTTTCCCTAATATCAGCACACTCAGAGAATGAAGGCCATTAGTTTAACTGGGACAAGGTAATTATAGTAGCCCAAGCCAAACATAGACACACACAGGAGTTCCTAGAGGCATGGTTCTCAACCCATAATGCAATCAACAAACACATAGAATTTGACCCCATATACAAACCCATACAGAACAGAAACGGAAATGACACTACTCAACATAACGGACCGGACTGTATAAATTCCAAGCAGAGTAGAATAACATTGCTTCATCGGAGGCTCCAGTGACGATGTCACCTAACATGGTGACGAAATGTCTGAACGAAAGCAAGCCAGCTCAGCGAGCAAGACAACAACCTCATAATCTGTGGAATAAATGGAGAGAGGATTAGTGTTCGTCTGTGTAAGCTCAGGCTAGAAATTCCAGTCAAGACTGAAGGTGACTGTGGGAGTGATTAAAAGAGTGTCAGTTACAGTTAAAGCAAGAAGGAAAAACCAAAGAGAAAGATGAAGGAGTTGAGGTCCAATTAGCTGATACCCTGGTTGACAAAATGATAAAGCACAAACCTAAAGAGGTAGAGGATCAGGCAGAGGTGTTTAGTTCTGAAAGACTAATGGAGTTACAACAAAAAGATGAGACAATAAAATATTTATATCACAAAGTCTACTTGGAAATGGAATCAGAATGTATTCCAGAATGCTATTAACTAAGGATAAAATCTTAAGGTGGAAATGGAGACCTCAGCAGGTTAGTGCAGTGGAGAAATGGGCGGAAGTTCACCAGATTGTGTTGCCAGTAGCAAACAGACAGGAAGTATTATGGGTAGTACATGAATTACCTGTAGGAGGTCATCTAGGAGTGAGGAAGACTCAGGCTAAGATACAGAAGGATTTCCATTGGCCTAGATTACATAAAGATGTGATTGAATTTTGCTGTACCTGTCATACATGTCAGATGGTAGGAAAGCCACAGGCAGCAATAAAACCAATACCTTTGATGCCAATTCCTGCATTCGAAGAACCTTTTATGTGGGTTATAATTGATTGTGTAGGTCCCCTTCATAAACAAAGAGTGGAAACCAGTATTTGCTAACCATAATGGATATGTCTACCAGGTTTCCGGACGCAATTCCATTATGGAATGTCAAGGCAAAAGTCAGATCAAAGGTCCAATTTTACTACCAAATTGTTTAAGGAGGTCATGGATAGTTTAGGCATCAAACACTTTAAATCAAATGCGTACCATCCTGAATCCCAGGGAGCATTCGGAAGGTGGCATCAGACCCTAAAGACAATGCTGAGGGCTTATTGCCAGGATTACCCAAATGATTAGGATAAAGATATCCCATTTATATTATTTGCGATTAGAGATGCTCCAAATGAATCGACTTAGTTTACTCCATTTGAATTGACATTCGGACGTAAAGTAAGAGGCCTTTAAAATTAATTAAAGAAAAGTTGATAGGTCCGAAGTCAGAGATCTCACAGTTGGCTTATATATCTGAGGTGGGAGAAAGATTAAACCGAGTGGTGAAGTAGCAACACAGCATTTGAAGGTGGTACAGCACCTAATGAAGCAAGAAGCAGATAAGAAATCTAAAATTTGTACGTTTGCCCATGGGGATACAGTATTGGTGCTGTTACCAGTGAAAGGAGATCCCTTCCAAGCAAGGTTTAGTGGTCCCTATCAGATTGAAAAGAAATTAAGTCAGGTGAATTATCTGGTAAAGATGCCAGATAGGAAAATACTTTATCAGATATGTCGCGTGAACATGCTGAAACCCTACTATGACAGGGAAAGGGAACCAGAGAAACAGGTAATAGTTACTGTCACTCAGAGTGAGGAATCAAATCCAGATGATGTACATTTTGATGTGCCTCAGAATAAATTGAATAATGAGGAAGCCCTGAATGATTGGGATAGGACAGTAAGCTAATTGTCTCAGGAACAGAGGACTGAATTGAAATAAAAACAGAAGTTAAGGTAAAGCTCAGCAGGTACGGCAGCATCTGCGAAGAAAAATCAGAGTTAACGTTTCGGGGTCCGGTGACCCTTCCGTTAATGCTGATTTTTCTTCACATGTGCTGCCAGACCTGCCCCTGAGCTTTTCCGGCAACTTCTACTTTTGTTCCTGATGCAGTTCTTTCGGTTTTTATTTGGACTGAATTCAAAAACTTGTTACAACGATATGAGGACATGTGTAGAAATAGAACGGGGAGGACGAATACTATAATACATGAGTTGATGGAGGGAATGCTGTTCCGATAAAACAACCCCCCAAATGCTTAATCCTCTCAAAGCAACACAGGTACAGAAGGAAGTGGAAGCGATGCTCCAAGAAGACATCTTTGAGCTGAGTCAAAGTGAATGGAGTTCGCCGATCATGTTGGTTCTCAAACCTGATGGTACTCAATGATTCCGTGTGCATTATCAGAACGTCAATGCCGTGACTAAGTCAGACACAAACCCAATTCAAGGCTGGAGGACTGTGTGGAAAAAGTTGGACAAGCCACTTACATCACAAAGTTAGACTTACTTCACGGTCACTGGCAAGTACCTTTGTCAGACAGAGCGAAAAAAGTTTCTGAATTTGTAACTCCAAATGGTCTGTATCAATTTAAAGTAAAGCCCTTTTTTAATGAAGACCGCACCAGCCACATTTCAAAGACTTATGAATAGAGTTGGCAAGATTGACTAATTGTGCCGTCGATATAGATGACTTAGTGATCGTTCACCCCCATTTGTGGAAAGATCACATGGTACATTTGGCAGAGCTCTTTGAGAGACTATGGAAGGCAAACCTGGTCATATATTTAGCGAAAACAGAATTTGCGAAGGTAGAAGTGACATTCTTAGGGCACAACATTGGATATGGCCGGATGACACCGAGGAACATGAAGACGAAGACCATTGAGGAATTTCCAAGACCATCCTCTAAGAAAGAGGTGCTATGATTTTTGGGACTGAGCGGAGTCTACCTGAAGTTTGTACCAAACATTAGTAGTGTGGTGGCACCATTGACAGATTTGATAAAGAAGAACATGGAATTTCGGGGGACAGAACAATGCCAGGAGGCATTTAAGAATTTAAAAGCTGTGTTAACCATCGCACCGGTTTTAGCCACACCAAATTTCTGGAAACCCTTTAAAGTCACTATCCACGCAAGCGATATAGGGATTGGAGCTGCGTTGTTATGTTGGTTGGTGGGGTGGGGCGGGGTGGAGAGATGATTGTGGTGTTGAAAGGCTAATCAGTTATTTTTTCCATATCCAACAGAGAAAATATTCAACCTTTGAAAAAGAGTTAATTAATTTGGCACTGGCCTTACAACATTTTAATGTTTACGTTGCGAACAATGTATCGGAAACAGTTGTGTACACTGATCACAACCCTTCAACATCGTTGGAAAGATTTAAGGACAAGAACACAAGACTATTTCATTGGAGTCTTATGTTACAAGCATTTATTTTACAGATCGTACATGTTGCACATCGTGAAAATATTATTGCAGATGCATTTTTGCGAGTTTAAAAGAAAATGTGTATATAAGATAGAAATGGTAGTGTTCAATGTTATATATGTAAATAGAAATAGTATGAAATGTGAAACTCTAGTTTATGCATTATGTATTTAATAATAATGGTGATAAGCTTTAACAAAAAAACCTTTTCATAATGATGGTTCAATTTTTTCTTAAGCGGTGAGGTGTTGTGGAGAGTATTTATGAATTAGAAGGCAGGATGTTAGAAGTTATTTGTAAAAATGATAGGGGGATGAGTGCATGGCCCCTATAAGAGGTGATGTGCATTTCTTAGCTTGGAGATATTAAAAAAGTGTTTGCAAGCAGCTGCTGTTGCACAGAGAGTTCTGAAATTAAAACATTCGGTTGTGTGGTTGGCAACCTAGGCTTGTTTTGATGTTCAGGCAATCAGCTTGAATATCAGCCGATTAATTTAAACCAGCCATTTAGAGACTGAAAACCAATTGAATTTAAATCTGATGGTGTTGACAACCTCAGATCAATCCTATTATAAGAAAATTGACAGGTCATCAAGGGTATATAAGAAGAGGGTTTTTTTTTTTGAAAATCAGTGTGAGCGCAAACTGCCATCGGAAGAGTAAATCTCTTGCTGTCACAGAAATCTCTAAGCTCTCTGATTTAGCACCATCTAAATAAGGATACTGAGGCACTCTTAGATAATATTCCTGACACCAGAATGTGGAACTGGAGAACAGCAGAGAACAGTGTTCCTAATGAGAGAACAGCGAAGAAGGGCGTTCATGACCGGAAAACAATGGAGAAGGCAAAGAACATTCCGGAAGCCTTAACCTGGCTGTACTTTTGAGAATCAAAGTTTTTAATTTATTTCTCTTATTACTTTGGTTTATATAAGCAGGACTTCTATTTATTGGAACAGCATGCCACTAAAAGTTTGTTGTATTCAGGAATTGTTTGATTTGTTAGTAGGTCTATTAATTGTTAACTGTTAAAGTTAAATAAATAAATTGTTACTTGTTGCTTATAAAATGAGTATCAGGGATTGCTTTCATTTAACCTCTCCTTTATAACAGAATAGGAGGTGAAAGGCAGGGTACACCTCTCTTCCCATTTCTTCTAACAGATTATAGGCGAATTGTTTTGGTTTTAATTATCAGAGAGGTGTCATTCTCCCCACTGTAACAATGATAATAAAATCATTCATTTGTTTGTAGTTTGCTGGAGATGATTAGCCATCAGCCTTGTGTGACATCTCCTGAGCCAGATTGTAAAAAAAAAACTTTTAGGGACATTAGAACCAACAAAGGCTACCTCCTGGACCCCACCTCCCCAGTACCCAAATCCTTTAAAAAGAAACAAAACCACAGGTAAATACTGGTCATCAATTGAGGAAACAACTCTGAAAATCCTCCCCGACCCTAAATCAATGGAAGGAGGAGTTATGTGTAGCTATAGAGGGGCGCATCACCTTTACAGAACAAGGCAAGCTATCACTTCAAGAATGAAGAGCAAACCTGGCCTTAGTCATTTTAATGTAATGTCTCTATTGCTCTCCTCCACAGTGCAAGCAGCAGCAGCAACAGCAAAACCAAGAAGAACTTCCCAGAATGGAGGAACAGCTGGTATGTACCATATAACATCAGTCTCACGTGCATGCACCAGCATTCTGTGTTCCTGTGGTCTTTTGGGGAGAATCTGAATGGTCAAGACAATGGGATGTAGCAGGCACTGTAGCTGCTCCTTTCCTGTCAACATCTTTACAGTGAACAGTGGCTAGAATGTTGGACAAAGAGTGGCCTGGGAGTGATTGATGGCATCAGTGCAGAGGGAGCTTTACTCTGTATCTAACTCTCCTGATATCCATACATTCCTATTCTCTGAGTTATTCATCATGCTGCCATAGATTGTGCTTTGGGGATCTGTCGCTAACTTGACTATTGTTTCATCTTTGTGATTGGCTGTGAGTCTGAGTGCCTCAGCCTCTTCTTTGGAGCACCCCATAAAGATACCAAAAGGAAACAATGAGAGCCGTGTCCTTCACTGTGAACTTTGCCACTTTCTGCTGCAGATTGGTCACTTTCTGTACCTCACCCATCACTATTGATGAAGGTACACTGCAGCAGAGAAGCAAGTGACCCTATTGCAGCCAGCAGTGTGACAGCAGAGGAGCAAGATGGGAAAATGCTACTAATCAGAACCATTTGTTATTGTTTTCCAGCCAAACAATAGAGAATGTGGATATCCAGGACTACCTGGGATGCCTGGTCCTCCAGGTGAAAGAGGAGTAAAAGGAGAACAGGTAAGGCCACAAGATGTAAAGGCAGACGAATAGGACCAGCACATATTGAACCACATGTCTGGACAGCTTGGTTATAGTTTAATAAGTGCCTTTTGCTGCACAGTAGACAATTCTTTCATCTGTTGCCTCAATGTTCTTTGTCCTCTTCAACCTTCACTTCAGTTACTGACTGCTGCTTCTTGCATTTGAAAATAGGATCAGGAAAAAAAATCACTGTAGCCCTCAAGCCTATCTGATACTCATTGAGGTCATGGCTGACTTGTATCATAACTCCATCCACCTACCCTGGCTCCATAATCCTCAATATCCTTGGTTAACAATCCTCAATCAATCTGTGACTGTAATTATTAATTTAGTGAGTAGCTACTGCTTTTTGTGGAGGATATCATTTGCACATCGACCATCGTCTGCCTGGAGACACGTTTTCTGACTTCTGTCCTGAATGCTCCCGTTCTTTGTTATTCACTCATGGGATGAGTGCAACATATAGTGGGGCCAGCATTTATTTCCCACCCCTAATAGCTCTGGAGAAGATGGCAGTGAGTCATCTTCTTCAACTGCTCCAGTCCTTGACACCTTCTGAATTCCCCCACCAGCAGAAAATCCTCCTCTCTCACCAATCTTTTGATTTATTTCAAAAACCTAAAAGTCTCTTCTTATATTTCAGGAAAAATGGTCATCTCATAGTCTAATCTTAGTTCCTAGTTCCATCCCTATTCCACCTCATTCTTCCACAGAATCTACAGGTGGTAAAACTCAATTCCTTCAAAAATTCTATGCACCAAACTTGCTAACATTACTTTGTCTCAAATACTTTCCTCTTCTTTTCAACCTGTCTGTTTTCTGATTTTGCAACAATGCTGTTTTAAAAAAAAACGCTGATGCAACTTTTAAGAAACAAGAAAGTTCTTCAGTCACTTGCAGAGGAAGGTGTTGGACAGGGCTCCCTGCTGGGAGACTGTTCCTGGTCTCAGAGCCAGGAGATTAGACACACTTGAGTCCTCAAGAATAAGGGAATGTTTGTCATTTCCTGCACACATGAGATCACGGTACTGTAAATTTGAATTTAAAACCTCGAAAAGAGCACCAGACATTTTCCCATAAGTGGGAAAAACCTTGGTGTTGGTTCAGATTACAGCTCTGCAAAATCCCCTGATCATTGGGATCAGCATTGACAGGCTTAGTGTAGTTTGTATTCAATGTCCAACAGTATTTTCATCAGTTCGGGCGGGTTTTGGAAGCAAGGTTAGAGAGGTTGTGGGGAAACCTGAGAACTCAGGAATGTCCTGACACCTAAGGTACATTCTTATCTTGCTACATGCTGCATTATAAAGTAAATGTGTTATGAGCTACAGTGATAGACCATAGGGCTATCCTGGAAAGGCAGATAAACCAGTTCATTGACCAATGTTGGAATATCGAGTTATACAGAATGGAAAGGTGCCCTTCAGCCCATTGAGTCTGCACTGGTTGTTGTACAAGTGTTGAGTATTTTCAAAATTATGCAGAAAACTGTTGAAAACAGTGTTTGTGAAGGTTGATTTCAATAGACTCCTTTAACTTAGAAAATAAATGTGTCTCTTCTTTAAACATGGGGTTAAAATAATCAGCCACCAGTCCTACTCGTTTAGAGAATTGATAGACCATTTGCTTTGAAATTTTTAAAAAAAGTGATTTTCTTCCCCCTGCCAAGTTCAATAGACTCCAGTATCTGAACTGTGATGGTTTGTTTTGATAGAGCCAATTATGAACGTTTGGTTGAGTTTCAAAAGCTAATGAAGCCCTTTGCTCAGTCGATAATTGTTTACATGGTTGTTCAGAGGACCAAGAGCATTGGCAGTTTTAAAAGAATATAATAGTATTGTTTGTCTATGATGTGGTTTCTGAATAGATGTTTGTTTTCATAATGTAATGATTAATTAAGGAGGATTTAAGATGTTTCCGGTGGTACGAGAGATATTCTTTCTGTACAGTATGAATGACTGCGTATTTGATTGGAAGTTCTGTTAGATTGTTAGATGTTCTTTATTTTAAATTCATTTTCAATGTTTCAGATTACTGTTACATGGCCCTTGAGTCTACATAAGGTGGAAACTGAGTGAATGGTTATGGAGGATACCTGGGGCTATGGAAGGGAATTGGTGATAGATGGGGAGAGAGGGGAGTTAAGGGTTGAAGGGCACAAAAATGATCAGCAGAGCTCAGCCAAAGTCCCTGAAAAGCAAGATAAGCCTTGTATCCAGCCTGTCTCAGCACCCACCCACCTCAGGCCTCTGAAAGAGGAGGCAGGTCCAAATTGAGCCCAGTTGGAAATCTGGGGTAGGCAGTGAGGATGATGTATTGATGGGGTGGCGGGGGGTGGTGGAGTGGTGGTGGTGGGGGGTGGGGGTTGCTGGTGGGGGGTGGGTAGGTGTGGGGGGGGGGGGGGGGGGGGGTAGGTGTGGGGGGAATGGGCGAAAGGGTCAGGATGGTGGCTAGTGAATTGGAAACTGCCCTGACATGTATTTCCCAAATCTGAGACTGGGCAGCATGGTGGCTCAGTGATCAACACTGCTGCCTCACAGCACATAGGACCCGGGTTCGATTCCACTCTCGGGCGACTGTCTGTGTGAAGTTTGCACATTCTCCCCGTGTCTGTGTGGGTTTCCTCTGGGTGCTCCGGTTTCCTCCCACAGTCCAAAGATGTGCAGGTTGGGTAGATTGGTCATGCTAAATTGTTTGTAGTGTTCAGGGATGTGTAGATTAGGTGGATTATAGGGCTTGGGTCTGGGTGAGATACTCTGAGGGTCAGTGTGGACTTGTTGGGCCGAAGGGCCTGCTTCCACACTGTAGGGATTCTATGAACTATGAAATCAGTAGCTAGAATTTCCATTCCAGGAATAAACTCTGCTTCTCTACTACAGAAGGTGATTAAGGCCAAAATGTTGAATGTTTTCATGAGGGAGTTAGATATAGTTCTTAGGGCTAAAGGGATCAAAAGGGTATTGCTGGGGGGAGGGTGGGAGATGCTGGAAAAGGGTACTGAGTTGGATAATCAGCCATGAACATACTGAATGGTGGAAGGGGCCAAATGTCCTGCTCCTGCTCCTATTTTCTATGTTTCTATGAGGTAACTGAGCAATCATCTTGAAGAGGAGTGTGTGAAAATAAAACAATAAAATATTAAGCTGTAGAAATTCAAAACTGGTGAAAAGTAATTTTAGGCTTGAAATCAGAAAACAGTTCACCTCATAATGAGAAGCAGAGTGTTAGGACCTTCTTAAATTAAGTAAGACAGTCCAATTGAGCTTCCTCATTGATTATTATGTTGTGGCTTCATGCAGAGATGCACAGGACCTGCACAGTTGTGTAATTTGCACTAAAAGGAACAACTCTCTCTTTCCAGGGGCCTACAGGTCAGAGAGGATATGCTGGGCCCCCAGGGCCTCCTGTAAGTATTGTTTTAACCTGCGCAGCCAGGACAAGTATAGCTCATTTCACAAGCAAGCCACTAGAATGTCATAGTCAGTTCCTCCACCTCAGAATATGTCCTCTGTCCAGTCTATGGGCCGATACATGAAGAATCACATGGACCATAAATATTGCCTGCACGAGTTTCCCTGCAGCAACTTCCCCACCCCAACCACCATCCACCTCCTTCCCACACCCCACACCCCCCATCGACACACACACACACACACACACACACACACACACAATCTCTCTCTCTCTCTCTCTCTCTCTCACACACACACACTCACACTCTCTCTCTCACACACACACTCACTCTCACACACACACTCACTCACTCACTCTCACACTCACACTCACACGCACACACTCACTCACTCACACATGCACACACACACTCACTCACTCACACTCAGACTCACACACTCACTCACTCACACACACACACACACACACACACACACTCACTCACTCACTCTCACACTCAGACTCACACACTCACACACACTCAGTCACACACACGCACACACACACACTCACACTCACACACACACTCACTCGCTCACACACTCACACACTCTCGCTCACTCACTCACTCTCTCTCTCACATACACACTCACTCACTCTCACTCTCTCTCTCACTCTCTCACTCTCTCACTCACTCTCTCACTCTCTCACTCTCTCACTCACTCTCTCACTCTCTCACTCACTCTCTCTCACATACACACACAGAGCCCCCTGCTCCTCCATCATGTACTTCGCTGAGTGGTATCAGAGTAAGTTAGAAGGAGCTACTTTTAATGTCATGAGGGTTACTAAACAGGGGATACAGGTTTTAGAGATTTGACAAAGCAAACACAGTGGAACGGAGCATTTTCTCCCTCACAATGACCTGTTGACATCAAGAATGCACCACCTGTAACTCCAGGTGAAGGACTAGGTCAAATAAGAGCTCACAGGTGGAAGGCCAAGGCTGGGATCAGTGCGCAGCAGCCCAGGAGATGATAAGGTGTTAGTGCCAGGGTGTAAAGACAATGGGGAGAGTTACTGGGTGTGAGATGGAAAACCTTTGGGCAAGGTCAGCCAGAGAGTTCCTTGTAAAGCCTGGAGTGTAACTCCAGCTGCTTTTAGCCCACAAGGAACCGTGCAAAATGATTAAACCTTCGCAGCCTGGACCTCTTCAGACTCACAAACTCCCTTCTGACTACCTTGGCATGGGGGATTGGGTGACAAGCCTTTGTTCCTCTGCTCAGGCCTCAAGCTAAAATACCATATCAGGGCCTAGTGCTGCCAGTCTGGGGCATGTGTTCCACTTGGTGATTGGCTCATGAGGGGGAGGCAGACACATCGACAATAAGTTCAGCGACATCCCCATATTGATCTGCATGGCACAGAGGGGGCAGAGCAAATTATAATCCCAGCCAATGAGTCTTGGTGCCACTAAGGAGAGGTAAGAACAGCCAAAAAGCTCAGACACTGATGTGCCTGTGAATGTAATTGCTGTATATATTCATTAGCTGTAAGAAATGTTTGCTGGATTCTTCAAATGTTGCCATATCCACATCCAATTTCTCAAATTACACAGGGTAACTTAAACATTGCTACAGCAGGTAAAATATCCTCCTGGAGATAAACCAACATCAGAGTGAATTAGCTTTGTTTCTGAGCTTGGCAGTGCAGGCTGGCCACTTTCTGTGAGATTCCAGAGTCCAGCAGGGTATTGCCAAATCTGTAAGTGTCAGCCCCATTCACAGAGAGAGGAGAGAACGTGGGAAGAGACTCACGGAGAAAGGCCACAGGTGAACAGAAGAGAGTTGCTATCATAGATGGACAGTTACGTAATAGCGACCACAGGGGTCAATGCTCAGGAGGTAACAAGCTCATAATTCCTTACTCTTCACCTCATACCTTTGTGGGTTTATCCTCTGTCCTCCTCCACTTTCTGACACAATTTGAAACTAATTGAAAATGCTTCTTCCTTCAGGGCCCCCCTGGATTTCCTGGTGGTCCTGGAACCACAGGTTTGCCTGTAAGTATCCCAGGGACAAAGTGTCCTTTTCGTTTTGGTGTGGGACTCTTAGGGATGAGGTAGAGGTATAAGCTACATTAAGCACCTTACTGATAACAGTCACATGAGGAATGCCAATTAACGAAGACCAGGATAAATGGGCACCAATAAGAATTGTGGTTGTTTAAAACACTGCAATGTCCTGCCCTCACACCCCACATCCATCACAAAAGATCCTATTTCAGGTAATTATTAATGCTCAGAGAAATTCCCCAAATCAGGAGGATGAAACCTGCAAAGAGGTTTTACAAGTGAACCACTCACCTGATGTCACAAGTAGCCCAAGGATATGCCACATATTAACAAGTCCTTCTGGGTAGGGATATAGGCCAGGATCTGGATCTTCCTGGTGTCTGTCCCACTGAAACAAGCCTTCTGACCCAACGGATTAGTTACCCTGCTGATACACTAAGAAGATTAAGTGTGTCCAGATTGAGAGGCAATATTTGCATTATTGCTGGTGCACATTCAAAGATTCCTGGGTCAGAAGGTCCAGGTTGAAATCCCACCTGCCCTAGAGGTGTATCTTAACAGAGATTAAATATAAAACTGAAAGAACTGTACATGCTGGAAATCAGAAACAAGTACAAAAATTGCTGGAAATCTCAGCAGGTCTGGCAGCAATAATGGAGAGAAAGCAGAGTTAACATTTCGGGTCCAGTGATCCTTCTTCAGAACACCTGTACGTATCAAATGATACTGGATGAAGTATAAATAAATAAGTCCACCAGGTTGAATATAAACCTTAAAGAGACATTCAAAGACTGTTGTGGCGCAGTGGTAGTGTCCCTACTTCTGAACCAGAAGCTCCACATTAAACCTGCCCTGAACTACAATATGTCCAAACAGTTTGATTAAAAATAATGTGTTTCTTCAAGAGACATTCAACATTTGAAGTGACAGCCTTGGATCTCAGCTGAGTCAGAATGTCATGGGATCAAACTTGGAGATCTCAGCATTGAATAAAGCCTGGCATTTCTGTGCCGTGCTAAGGGAGTGCTGCACTGTCAAATATTTCACCTTTCACAGAATATGTTAAAACTGAGCTCACAAATAGCCCCTGAGGTGAATGCAAAAGAAAGAAAGAGGGAAAGTTCTCCCAGAATCATACCCAAATATTATCACTCAGCTTGAATACATTTATTGACACTGGTGATGAGTTGTAGAGTTGGGAACTAGACAGTGATAGGGTAGATTTTAATGCACTCACTCTGGTGAATTTGGTGATGCTAAGTGCCTTCTAATCAGACAGAAGGATGGCAGATGGAGACCCCAACCTGAACCCTGACCCTAACCCTAACCTCTGCCCTGAATAAATCAATGGCAAGAAGGCCATGGACCCCATTTTGCCCTAAATTGAAGAATTTAAGGAGCAGTTCCGCCCTTGCTCTTGACTTCCTGCCCTCAGGAACTCACTTCTGCACCTCCCACCATCATTGACTTGTGGTCAGGGTCCCTCAGGGTAGGTCCATTTCCAGCAGCAGCCACCCCTGTTGTGGGTACTGCCAGACCATGCACAGCTACTGCCCTCTGGGTGGTAACACTCACACCTCTCCATCCCCTTCCCCACCCCTGGTATCTTAGTCATAGGGGAAAGCCTGTCACTGCAGCCAGTGGGTGAGACCTCTCTCACTTCATGATATCTCACTTTTTAATTAATTCTGATCAAAACTAGACATCTGGTCTCCTTCTTCAACAGCTGATTGTAAGAGGCTTAGCAATAATCCTTTATCACAGGAGATACAGTACTGTTACTACAGGAAATACAATACTGTTAACACAGGAGATACAGTGACTGTTATCACAGAAACAGAGCTGCAAAACCCTCACTATTTGCTGATTACAGGTTCTACATCCTGTATCCAGTGTTCACTTTAATTTTCTTCCCAGCTGCACAGGCCCATGCACAGCAGGGACTTCCAGAAACAGATACCAACGCCACAGTTATCATGCTGACTCTGAAAGCCGTGCATAGTATATCAAAGCAGCTAAGCACGAACACAGCCCTGCAGCTAAGAGGGAACGTTGGTCTTGATTACTTGCTCATTAGCATATTCTCTCTTAAAGTGGTATCATAACACATTCCTCTGCCCTCCTCCCCACTCCTGCCTTGCCCTCCCCTATCTTCCCCTCTACCCTATCCCTCTCCTGACCTACCCTCCTGTACACTGTTCTGCCCTATCCTCTCCTCTCCCACCACTTTGTCTCTCTCCCTCTCCTCTCCCCTCTCCTCTGTGCTATCTCCTCTCCCTTCTGCTCCCCATGCCTCTTCTCTTCCACTCCTTCCCCCGCTGGGTCCAATTTGCCAATGTACCCGACGAGCAGGTACAAAAAGGAAGGGTATGGAGGAGACCTACTTTGATGCAATTGGCAGCACTTGGGAACATCTCAAAATGTTGTACGGTAATTTTTGTAATATCTGAAACACACTGGCAAATTTATACACAGCAAGCTCCCAAAAAACAGCAAGTGATAAGGAGCAGATAATGTATCTTGGATAATTATTGGCCATTCCTTCTTCAAATAATACCAAATGATCTTTTACATCCACATGAGAGGTTCAGTAGAATCACTGTTAAAGTTGTACTCTGTAAATCAGCACAGCGAGCTTCAGTCTGTTTTCCAGTGGCCAGGCCTCTGGAGCGGGACTCGAACCTCTGACCTTCTGACTCAGAGCCAGGAGTGGTCTCACTCTGGCTGCTGTGCAGGTTATGATGTAGACTGACAGAGGAGATGTGAGGAAACAGATCCCAGGATGAATGGTCTGTCGCTGTCCCTTCGATTCACAGAAGAGGTCTCAGTGAGCCGGAGCCAGGGTGAGGCAGCAGGGGCAGAGGTACAGCAAGGTGTCCTGCCACTTTTATGTCACATTATATTTGACAGGGCAGTAGTTACACATAACAGGATTTGAAGAAGATTTTACGGTGGAATATACCTGTGTGCAGATTATACATTGAAAACACTGCAGGGAGGACAGCAGAGAATCTAGTCCAACATCAGGTTCTCACTCAGACAAAAGCCATTGCTAAAAGGAGTTAATGATTTTACTTTCTTAAGAAAATGTTGTTCATCAACAGGGTCTTCAGGGAGAGCGGGGCTCGCCTGGGGTAGCTGGACAGAAAGGAGAGCAGGTGAGTTCAGTCCTTTGGGGCTCCATCACTATAACTAACTGGCCTTTGCAGTGCTAGCATTAACATTAAAAATGTAACTGCATAGTTGGAAATCCCTGCTGCTGGGAATGGACTGCGGGATGGAAAAATGCTGATATGAGGAGCTGGGTATGGCATTAGGAATGGGGCTTGGCATCAGGTATGCAATGCCTGCATGCTGTACTCTGCAGACTATCAAGTCCCTTACTTTCATCATTGATTAACATTGCGTTTGCTAACCTCCCAGATACAGAGGTCCACCAGATACCACTATGATGTAATTTAGGTACCTGTGTGAACCAGTGACGATGTCGCTAATTCAATGCACAACTAGTACAGCCACTAGGAGCAGAGTATGGGGAACGGAACTGCCTGCTGCCTCAGAACATTCCACAATGTTTTCATCCCGATAACGTTGCCATCATATTGGGAAGGGAAGGTCTGTTGAGGGGGAGGGAGAGAGTACAGGACCTGTACTTTGGTTGCCAATGTTGATAGTTGCAGTTGGAAACTTTCTCAGTTTGGCAGTCCCACCTTGGTGCAAAGTGCCTCCTTTAGCTGTGATTTTCATTCCTAGAGGAGTAGAATCAAGCTCACCATCCCCAGGGGCAGGTCAGAGGCAGCTGAGTCCCATGGCAGCCTGCTCAGAAGGCCCACCTCATTTCTCTGGGGCTTCATCCCAACCGGTTCAGTTATATTTCAGGTCCTAAAGCACTTACCCCTCACACACCATCACACACCCCTCCATGCAACATCCACGGTCCCATGACAACATAGTAACAACTCACGCTGCCCAATCACATCCAATGGCCCCTCATATACTCCATGCCAACTCATGCCTTTTCAGTGCCCATTCACCCTCGACACACTATGTACTGAACCACGGATGACAGATATGAAACTGCTTCAAAAAGACCTAATTTGAAAATTCTGGAAGAAAAAAAATGTGATGATCCTGTAAATCTATGGAATTCTCAATTTAATAGACCATTAAAGTTTCAATAGCAGACACTGAGAACATTTTTCCAGAGGAAGGAGATAGTCTAGTGGTAATGTTACTGGACTAATAATCCGGACACTGAGGTAATGTTCTCGGGATCTGGATTCAAATCCTATGATAGTAGTTAGTAAATAATTTAAATTCCGTAGATGAGCGTGAAACATTGTCGATTGTTGTAAAAGTTCAATAATGCCCTTTAGGGAAGGAAATCTACTGCTGTTACCTGGTCACATGATTCCAGACCTCTTAAGTGCCGAGTGAAATGGTCTAGTAAGCCATTCATTGCCAGGCTAGGAATGGGCAATCAATGCTGGCTCATCTAATGATGGCCACATTCCATGAATGAATTCAAAAACAATTCAAACTCTGCAGTCTTGCCATATCCAGTCATGAATGGTGGTAGACAATTAAAAAGCTCACTGGAGAAGGAGGCATCACAAATTTCACCATCCTCACCAATGGGGAACAGAGCACAGTACATTAGTGCAAATGATAAGGCATTTGTAACAACCTACAGCCAGAAGTGCTAAGTGGATGTTCCATCCTGGTCTCCTTCAGAGGTCCCTGGCATCATAGATACCAGTCTTCAGCCCATGAAACAGCTGAATGCACTGGATACTGCAAAGGCTATGGGTCCTGCCACCATTCCAGCAATTATACTGAAGACTTGTGCTCCAGAACTTGCCACTGCCCTAGCCAAGCTCTTCCAGTACAGTTACAACACTGTCATCCACCCGGTGATGTGGCAAATTGCCCAGGTATGCCCTGTACACAAAAGTCAGGACAAATCCAATCCAGCCACCCAATCAGTCTACTCTTGATCATCAGTAAAGTGATAGAAGGTGTCAGTAACAGTGCTATCAAGCAGCACCTGCTCAGCAATAACCTGCTCAGTGACACCCAGTTTGGGTTACGCCAGGGCCACTCAGCTCCTGACCTCATTACAGCCTTGGTTCAAACATGGACAAAAGTTATGAGCTTGAGAAGCGAGGTGAAAGTGACTGCCTTTGACATCAAGGCCACAGGTGACCGAGTGTAGCCTGACCAAAACTGGAATCAGTGGGTATCAGGAGATCAACTCCCCGTTGGTTGGAATCAAATCTAACGTTTCGGAAGACAGTTATGGTTATTAGAAGTAGGTCATCTCATCTCCAGGACATCTGTGCAGGAGTTCCTCAGAGTAGTGTCCTAGGCCCAACCATCTTTAGCTGCTTCATCAATGATCTTCCCTCTGTTATAAGGTTAGAACTGGGGATGTTCGCCGATGATTGCATAATGTTCAGCACCATTCGTGACGCCCCAGACACTGAAACAATTCAGGCCCAAATGCAGCGAGAGTTGGCCAATACTGAGGCTTGGGCTGATAAATGGCAAGTAAAATACAAATCATACACCATCTCCATCAAAAGAATCTAACCATTTTCTCTTGAAATTTAATGGAGTTGTAGGATTTTGATTGTGACAGTGAAGGAATGGCAATATGGTTCCAGTTCAGGATGGGTTCCAGTGGTAACCAGAGGAGACAGAGTTAAAGTGAGGTAAAAGAATCCGAGGCGATGTGAAGATAAATTTGTGTTGATAGGGAGTGCTCCATCTGAATGATTGAGGGAAGCCTATTATGTAATTATCTTTCAAAAAGGAATTGGATAAACACTTGAGGGTAAATCCTTAGCAGGGTTGTAGAAAAATAGCAGAGGAGTAGGATTAAGTGGATCGATGACTGTTCAAATCAATGGGCTTAATATCCTCGTGCTTCATCAACAAAACTCATCCTGCCCTTGTTTGACAATCAGACATACCACAGAGCTCCTCAAGCAGCTACTATCTCTGTTTCCTGGGCTGCATTACCACAACAGGATCTCATTAGCTGCAGTCCACTCTATAGCGTTGCCTCATTCACAGTGTGCTAAAAGTAGCCTTGTGTTCTTTTGTTGTATTCCTTCACTGTCACTGAACATCCCTCCCCAGTGTCCTTCAGAAGCTGCTCTATTTGTGAAATTAGACCAGTCATAGCCAGCTTGCATAACTATGTTGTGTTGTCTTCATCTCCTAGGGTCCTATAGGCCCCTCCGGATACCCTGGATCATCTGGAATGCCTGGTCTCCCGGTATGTCTCAAGTGAGGAGCATCTGAAATGTGTAAAGTACCTGGGTTTCAGTCTGGGACAGATTGGGACACAGTGAGACTCCTAGAATAGATCGTGCGTGCACCAAGTTCTCTATACAATTCAGACAATGCTTCAAGTTGTAGAATGTCCAGCTGCAGGGGAACTGAACAATCTTAAGCCAGGCTTTCATCCAATTAGGCTTTGGTGCCCTGGCGCAAAACTGTAGGCATGAACATCATAGGAAGGTGTGATCAGGTATAGCCTGTAATGCCCTCCTGTATTGTATACAGTTCTGGTCACCATGCTGCCAGAAGGATGTGGATGCTTTGGAGAGGGTACAGAAAAAGTTTACCAGGATGTTGCCTGATATGGGGAATTTTAGAAATGAGGAAAGTTGGATAGACTGGGTTTGTTCTCACTGGAATGCAGGAGGTCAAGGGGTGACCTAGTAGGTTATAAAATTGTGAATGGCATGGATAGAGTGGAAAGTAGGAGGCTTTTTTCCAGGGTGGAGCGGTTAATCACTAGGGGGCACAAGTTCAAGGTGCAAGGAGGAAAATTTAAAAGAGATGTGTGAGGCAGGTTTTTCACACAAAGGGTGGTGAGTGCCTGGAACACGCTGCCAGAGGAGGTGGTGGAAGCAGATACAACAGTAGGATTCAAGAAGCACCAGGACGAATACATTAATAAGAAGGCAATAGAGGGATATGGATCCTGTATGTGAATACAGTTTTCATATGTAAAGGCAAAATGTGTCGGCGCGCAGGCTTGGAGGGCCAAAGGGCCTGTTCCTGTTCTTGTTGTTCTTTGTTCTCTCAAATGGCTTCCAACATCCATTGGTCATGTGCCAACAACAGATCTTTGGGTCAGGTATTTGACAAGCAGTGGACATTTCTGAAAGTGCCTCTAGGAAAAGAAGGTTTCCACTTTGGGTGCTCAGTGAGATTGAGTGCAGCTGACACTGGGCAACTGTTTCTTGCCCGGACTTTGTTGGACAGAGCTATTTATCAGTCACTCTTCAAGTTTCATTCAGACCACCCATATCCCATAGGATCAACTCAACAAATGCAACAAGACATTAGCTATAAATCAATATTAAATTGTACAAAAAAAGACCACACGTTGAACCAGTAACGGTGAAAGATGATGTTTCAGGTGATTTCTTACCTATATCAGGGATTTCTCTTCCATTGATAGAACAGCATAGAGAGAACTTTACTCTGTAACTAATCCCGTGCAGGGCCTGTCCTGGCTGTGTTTGGGGACAGTGTAGAAGCAGTTAATTTCAGTTTAACACAATAGAGAGATCCTTACTTTAGTTTAAAAGTGTAAAAGGTGCTTGACTGTGTGTCTAAGTCTCTGTAGTCCCTTTGCTGGGAGTCATTGATGGGGCAGTGTAGATAGAGCTTTACTTTCAGTTTAAAAGAGTAGAAGCAGCTTCACTCTGTATCTAACCCTGTGCTGCCCCTGTCCTGGGAGTGTTTGATGGGGCCAATGTCAAGGGATCTTTACTTTGAGTTTATAAGAGTAAAGAGAGCTTTATTTGCAGTTTAAAGGAGTAGAAGGAGCTTTACTTTGTATCTATCCCCATTGCTATACCTGATCTGGGAGTGTTATATCGTGACAATACCAAGGGAGCATTACTTACAATTTAAAAATGTAGAGAAAGCTTTACTCTGTATCTAACCCTGTGCTGCCCCTGTCCTGGGACTGCTTAATAGGGACAGTGTAGAAAAAGGTTTAATTTCTGTTTAAAAGAGCAAAGGATGCTTTACTTCTAGTTTAAAAGAGTAGAGGGAGCTTTAAGGTGTATCTAAGCCTTTGCTGTTTCTGTCCGGGGAGTGTTTGATGGGTTCAGTTTTGAGGAAGCTATACTTTCAGTTTAAAAGAGTAGAGGGGAGCTTTTACTTCAGTTTAAAACAGTAGAGGGAGTTTTATTTTGTATCTAACCCCATACTGTCCCTGACCCTGGAGTATTTGATGGAGGCAGTGTTGAGGCAGCTTTACTTTCAGTTCAAAGGAGTGGAGGCAGCATTAACCTGTGTAACCTCAGCTTTATGGTTGGAGAATGGGAAATAGTGCTGCAGTGATATTGTTTTAAGACTGATAGTGTTAAGTCACGTTTGCCAGAAACCAGAGAAGGAATGACAGAAGACATGGAGTCATATCCATATATGGCTTAAATGATGAGCAGTGTCACTGATTGGATTATGGTCAAATGCCTCACATGTGGGAGAAAGAAGAGTCAAAACATGACCAAAAAAAATAAGTTTTTCTCTATAGCTGTTTTCCAACACTGTGAGAGCATTTGTACATTGTACCTCGTTACTGACTGTAACCAGTTGTTCTGTAATCATTAAAATGACTGATGGTTATATTATCAAACTGATGTCATGCTCATACTCTCTTGGTAATGACCGTACATTCTGACCTTGGAAATTGTGGTTGCCAAATAGCCATAGATCTCGCTTTCTAGTATCAAGGTACCTTTGTGATGCATAGAGTCAGCCAGTCTATCAGTTTATGGAGTAAACTCCACTCGTTCCTGAATGATGAAAGATATCCACATACATGCATTTCTGACTTTCTTTCAGGGCCTTAAAGGAGAGCGGGGCTATTCAGGTCCTCCTGGAGACAAAGGCGAGTCGGTAAGAACAACATTAGAAATAAGGACCAACAATCTGTGGCAGCCAACTCTACTCTCACAGCATTTCTTGGGCTAAATGTGTTTTAAGCTGTGTTTCTGAGGCTGTTAACTTGCTCGCTGAGCTGGCTTGTTTTTGTTCAGACGTTTTGTCACCATGATGGGTGACATCATCAGTGAGGCCTCCACTGAAGTGATGTTATTCTACTTCACTTGGAGTTTATACTGTCCAGTCATGGTGAGTAGTGTCATTACCGGTTTTGATCTGTATGGGTTTATATATGGGGTCCAATTCTATATGTTTGTTAATTACATTATGGGTGAAGAACCATGCCTCTAGGAATTCCCGTACGTGTCTATGTTTGGCTTGGGCTACTATGGTTACCTTGTCCCAGTTGAACTCCCATTCTCCACCCGTAACGCAATCAATAAACATATAGAATTGGACCCCATAAAGAAAACCCATACAGATCAAAAACCAGAAATGACACTACTCACCATAACGGACCAGACAGTAACATCGCTTCATCGGAGGCTCCACTGATGATGTCACCTAGCATGGTGACGAAACGTCTGAACGAGAACAAACCAGCTCAGCGAGCAAGTCAACAACCTCATCCACAACCCGAGCTATGGATCTTTGCCAAAACTTTAAACTGTGTTTCTCTTTCTGTCATGTATTCCTCTCATACATTCTATTCGTTGCACTCTCTTGCGCTCTCTCGCTCTGCCTCATATTTAGTTGTCCAAGCTGCAGAGGAAAGACACCTTCTCCTATTGGAAGTGAAAAAGGAACATGGGGTTTTCTGGTCAGGCTGCTTAACACCTGCTACTCAAAACAGGATAATGTACAGAGAACGCTTGACCCAATGCTACTTCATTAATCCGGTGTTTCTAGTCACCCAAGTCAGGACCTTATTCAAGAATGCGGTGACTGGAGTCTTGGTGTAAATGGGCCAGTAACTAATCTGACACCATTTCACAGCCCCTACCAACCTGCTTAAGCAACCTGGGGCTTACACATCTTCCCAACTCAGAGGCCAACCATTTGGCCTCTGATATGAGAATGTTTTGTGCTGAATATTGGGGACTGGTGGGGAAATGGTGTTGAAACAGAAACATCACTCAACTAGAACATGGAGACTCAGGCTAATGCTGAGGGGACTGGGGTTCAAATTCTACCGCAACACTCAAATTCATCATTCATCTGGAGTTATAAAGCTTGTTTCAGTCATTGTGACCACAATAACTGTCATCAGTTGTTTTAGAAATATGCCTGGTTCACCAATGTCCTTCAGGCAGGGAAATCTGCCATCATTACCCAATCTACTATACATGTGACTAAGGGCCCAGGGCATTGTGGGTGACTCTGCATGGCCCTCTGAAAGGCCAAGCAATTCGAGAACAATAAGAAAGTGGGTAACATATGCTGGTCTTTCTTGATGTTTGGATCTAGTTAATATTTATTACTTTTCTCAGTGTAACGCAGAGGTAGTTGTAGATTCTAAATTAATTCAAGCAGTTTATTCACGTGAGTTGAAAGATTTTAGAACCTTATAGATTAAAGTGTAGTGCTAGCTGGGAGCAGCATGTCTCATCTCTCTCAAGAATTTTTCTGTCCGTCAGTCAGGAGTCAGTTGCCTCATTTTGTTACTGAGTGATTTCTACCCTCCAATCTGACAGGCTATCTCCCATTCATTTTCTTCTCCCTTGCAGGGCCCACCTGGCTTCCCTGGTCCCCAAGGCCCAGCAGGCCCAGCGGTGAGTATGTTCCGAAATCCATTGAATATTGGCAGATCAGTAAGAAACTACAAACTAGATCAAGCATTAAAAAATGGGCTCAAAGAGGGAAGCCAGCTAGCTCCAATGCTCTGTTGAATTAAACCACCTGTATTGGGTGCATCAAAGGGCCTGACTATAGAGCTGAGTGATGGACTGTGCAGAATGTGCCTATAGAAAACATTTCATAAATAAGGTAGCTGTTAAAAATGCCCAATGTAAATCTCATTCCAAGGCAGATATTCTGTTATTGACTGTTGGTTGTGTGGGATATTTAGCCCAGTCTCCAGGATATTAAGATGAGGGGTTGGACTCAGCTGTGAATGTCCCCACTCCATCCCCTCAGAGTGAGATTTCCTGTTTGTATTGCTTTCTAAAGGAGTTTGAACACTTGGGTTAGGATAGTGGGGGGTGTGTCAGTGACTGAGGCCCCATCACAGATCAGTCACTGACTTTAAAACTCAAAGAATGGACTTTGATTTATGAAGCCCCTGTTAACATCCTCACAAAGTCCCAAAGTGTTGCACAGCCAACAAATTACTGCTGAATTGTTACTGCCAATGTTGTAAAAGAGAAAAGCAACAGCTAATTTGGACAGTTGAAGATTGGTGAGTCTATTAATGGTAGTCTTTTACCCAGGATGTAGGAGGTGTTCCCTGATCATCTTCAAACAGCACAACGTGGTGTTTTGACTTTATTTAACATGTCAGATTGTGATGCATTCTCAGAATGGTACTGTAGTGTCATTTTGCGGTCCGTGGTCAATGCCTCTGGACCATGAGCTTAACTTCTGGGCTTCAGAAATAAAAGAGTGAGACCCGAACCTCTCTGACCTTGCAACACTGAGCCATGGAGAAATAGCACGCGGTCATATGTGGTGCAAACTGTTTCCCGCAACTGTAGCTGAGAGTATGCACACTGAAAAGATTTGTATACGTTTCGAAATTTGTCTCAAGACTGATCCTAGTGGCATTTTTATGTCCCAAACACCAGTTTATTCCCCAATTCAGTGCAACCAGACTACAAGTCTAATACTGGATATTTTATCAATATTTTAGTCCTCAGATAGACTACCAGATAGTTTAATTATTGGGCAAGATTCACAAACATTGGGTGTGGTCTGTTTTTATCCACAAAGAGGCTCATTGTCTTCACGAAGGTCCAGCAGCTGATGATTTTGGGTGCAACATCCCACTCCAGTACAGAAATGCCTAATTGACATGAAGAGGGAAAAACAGTTCAAAATAAACAATAATGCTTGGAAATTAATGTACTGGAGCACCAGGTATACAAGATGAGTTTTATCTGTTAGTTGGACATGGAATGGGGATTTATTGGGGGAGTTATATGGGATTTATCAGAGATTATATGGGGATTATTCGGCGGGGGACTATACGGGATTATTCGGGGAGATTATATGGGGATTTATTGGGGGGTTTGTCCGGGAATTTACTGGGGGTTTATACGAGGATTTATCAGGGGGAGAGTTATACGGTATTTATCAGGGGAGTTATATGGGGATTTATCGGAGGGGCTATACGGGGATTTATCGGGGGGCTAAACGGGGATTTATCGGAGGGGTTATACAGAGATTTATTGAAGGGGTTTATACGAGAGTTATCAGGAGGGATATTTTGGGGGGATTATACAGGAGTTATGGAGGGGTTTATACAGGATTTATTGAAGGGTTATATGGGGATTTATTCAGGGGTTTATATGGGGATTTATCAGAGGGAGGGTATATGGGAAGATATTGGGGGTTTATACAAGGATTTATCAGGGGGTTATACGGGGAGTTATGGGGGGGTTATACAAGGATCTTTCAGGGGGTTATACGGGGAGTTATGGGGGGTGTTTATACGAGGATTTATTGGGAGAGAGGGTTATACAGGGATTTGTCACAGGGGGTTATACAGGGATTTGTCAGGGGGGTGTAAACAGGATTCATCGTGGGGCTTTATACGGGTGTTTATAGGGGGAGGTTCTCTGGGCATTTATTGGGGGTGTTTATCCGGGGATTTATCGGGGGGCTTTAAACGGGGTCACACAAGCACATTAGCGAGAAGTGAAAGAAATTATAAACAGTTGCTCGTGTCATGAGGAGAACTGCAGCATTGCTGAACTATTCTGCGATATTGAGCTGTTATTATTGCCAGTGTGGGAGTAACTATGGGGCTGATGTGATGTGGTCCACATGCACTAGGGCATTGGGTACAGGCCGTTAACTCCCAAGCTACCCTGTTGCATGATACAAGGGCAAGACGTTGCAATAGCTCACAGGTATACTTGGGAAAAAGCCATTTGGGAAGTGTGAACATGCCAACTCCCTGGATTGGGTAATCCGGTGCTAGTGGGTGTTAGAAAAGCTGGTGGGTTCTTTTCAGCAATTTACTGGCTGTGCTTCCACTCAAACCACCAAATACACTGATTGGGTGTTAGCGGCAGTAGAACACATGGGTATACTATACAGAGGGGGCTGAGGACCACTCCTCTACCCACAGCATCTATTTCCATTATCTTACTGGAGGGGTAATGATTAACAGGGAGAACATCCCTGCTGTTTTGTTCATTATGGGTCTATGTTATCTGTTTAAAGGCTTTGGTTTAACATTTCATTGGAAAGACAGCACATCTCACAGTGAAGCTCTCCCTCACTGGAAACAGCTTTGATCTTCTGCTCAAGTATCTGGAGTGGGACTTGAACCCAAAACCTTCTGATCTTGAGGCAGGAATGCTACGACTGAGTCACAGCTGTATTATTATCTATGATATTATCTATGAAACCCTTGTGTATTTCTCCTGACAGGGCCCCAAAGGTGGCTCAGGATTACCTGGTTCACGAGGAGACAAGGGAGATCAAGTAAGTGGTGCTTCCAGTTGTGATTTTGACTCTGAGGAAATGACCTCCTAGAGGGAAAAACAGCAGTCAGGCATAAACCATTAATACTTGGAAACGAACATACCAATTATACTGGAGCTCTGTTTGGGAATATACAAGACGTCTGGGACCAGTATGCCTCATTCAGCAGTTTTACTGGTTTAGGGGAGGTGATGGCATCATGTCCATGTCATAGGACCAGAGAACTATGAACCCAAGCTAATGTTCTGGAACATAGTTCAAATCCCACTGTGACAGATGGTGACATTTAAATCATGAAGTTAAAAAGATGGCCTAATAGTGACCATATAACCATTTTCAGTTGTCATAAAAACCCATCCAGGGGACTAATGTCCTTTAGGGAAGGAAACTGCCATCCTTACCTGGTCTCGTCTACATGTGATTCCAGACCCACAGCAATACGGTGTCTCTTAACTGCCCTCTAGGCAATAAATGTGATGCCCACCAGAATGAATATATTTTGCATCTTGGATAGACTTTTAGCTAAATTCTTCCATTTCCAAATTCTGGTGGCCAACCAATCCTGTGGATTGTTGGTTAGAGAATCACGGATCCAATGCACTGTGTCTTTAACCTACAATCTGCAGTGTTGGAGGTGTTGGTCACAGTGTGTCACTCCTTCTTCCCAGGCTGCACACATCAGACAGAGCTTCCAACTATGAGAATAAATCAAAGAATTACAGATGCTGGAAATCTGAAATAAAAACAGGGTTAATATTTCTAGTCCTTTGACTGTGCTTGCAAACTGATAGTAGCTGGGAAAAGATGTTATTTATGCTGAAGACAAGGTTGGGGAGCATGCCGTAAGAGATGGAGTAAGTAAATGGAGACAGAGCCCAGAGAGAGAGATATGAGAGGGGAACACAAATCATGGGATTATTGACAGGACAGAGAGAAGCTGGATTAGTGACAATGAGAGCTGAGAGTAGAATAGCATGGGTAAACTGCTAAAAGCAACTCATGACATTGCAGGTAGATAAACAGGAGGCTGGAAGAACACAGCAAGCCAGGCAGCTTCCGGAGGCAGAGAAGTCAATGTTTTGGGTATTACCCTTCTTCAAGACTGGATGTGGGGGTCGGGGGATGTGTAGGAAGGTTATTTGAAATTGCAGAACTCAGTATTGAGTCCTCTGGGCTGTAGGGTTTCAAGGCATAAGATAAGATGTTGTTCTTCAAACTTGCGTTCTGATTTCGCTGTGACACTGGAGGAGGCCGAGGATGGACATGTCTCTACAGCCCAGAGGACTTAACACTGAGTTCCCCAAGTTCAAATAACCTTCCCATCCAGCCCCCGGCTCCCTTTCCAGCCCCATCTCCTCTCTTCCACTCCACCTTCTGACCCTCCCTTCCAACTGGATTCATCTCTCCCATTGACCAAACAGGTCATATCTCCTAGCAGTGTCCACCTATCACCACCATTCTGCAACCCCCCTCCCCTTTATCTGCAGCTCCCCATACCCCCACATCCAGTCCTGAAGAAGGCTAATACCCGAAACGTTGACTGCTCCTTTCCTCCAGATGCTGCCTGGCCTGCTGTGTTTTCCCAGCCTGCTGTGTTCTTCTATCATCCTGTTTGTCTACCTCGGATTCCAGCATATGCAGTTTTTTTGTTACATGATATGACAGGACCAGGTGGTGGTGGGGTGTTGTGAGGCAGGTGGTGGGGTGGTGGGTGTAAAAAACATGGAAGGATGGAATCAGGCACTAAAGTTATTGAACTCAATATCGAGTCCTAGAGGCTGCAGGTCTAAGCAGATGTCGTTCTTCAAGTTTACGCTGAAGCTCAATGGAGCACTACAGCAGAGGTGTTGGCCTGGCAACACAGTAGTGTGATGAAGCAGCAGGCATCTGGAAGCTCAGAGTTATTTTTGTAGATAGAACATAGGTATTATTCAAAGTAGTCACCCAGTCTGTGCTTCATCTCCCTACTGTATAGGAGACCACACTGAGAGCAGTGACAACAGTAGACTAGATTGAAAAAAAGTACAGGTTCATCTAAAAGATATGCCTGAAGCCTTGGATAATGAGGAGAAAGGAGGTTCCCTGGCTTACTATCAACAATCCCTTTACTCCTCTCTCTCTCTTTCCCCCTCTCTCTTTCCATCTCTTTCCTCCTCTCTCTCTCCCTCTCTCTCAGCTCCATCTCCACCTATCAGCTCATTCCTTCTCCCCCTAATCTTCGTCATCAATTTAAAATACCACTTTCTCCCAGATGCTATCAGTTCTCAAGAAGGGTCACTGGACTCAAAATGTTTACTCTGATTTCTCTCTAGATGCTGCCAGACCAGCAATTTCTGTTCATCTTCCAACAATCAGCTTTGTCCAAAGTACTCTTCCATCTCAGGAACCCATATTCAGTTACAGGGAGATTCACCTACCCTCTGACAGGCTTTGGATTGCACAATGTGTTAATGAGCTAAACTTTACACTCAGAGCTGGGCATATCCCAGAACAAAAGGATGTTCTCTCTACTGCAACAAGGGGCATACAGACAGTCCCTGTTTGTGAATGAGTTCCATTCCTGGGTCTGCTCACAAGTTGGGACACAATGCAGGACAATGTAAAGCAGCTATCTGTAAATATAGGAAATGTTTGTATTGCCAGGTCTTTAAAAGTACACCCCTGTGTGGGTTCGCATTCATAAGTACGAGTATTCATAAGTTGGACATTCCTAAACCTGGGACCCCTGTAAAGTGGGTCATTGTGGTACAAGCTGTAGTGATATCTAGAGAAAGGTGGGGACAGTGGGGGCTGGGGTGCATTATTTCCCCAATTCCATTTTGAGTGAGCGCCCCCACCCCATCATTCCCTACCCTTTTGTCACAGTTACACTGCCTCTAGTGGACAGTGTTTGTTAATTGTTTGTCATGAGGGTTATTGAAAAATAATGAAATCCTGAACTCACTCTCTCAAAAGGCTGTGGAGTCTGTGAGGTTAATTGAAAGCTTCAAATCAGAGATTGATAAAGATTTGCTGTGCACGTTTATTATTCAGGAATATAGAACACAGCAGGTAAATGCAGTTGAGGTGTCAATCAGCAATGATCCAGTTGAAAACACTCCTCCTGTTCCACTGTTCCTAACACTAGCTTTTCACTGGCACCCAAGTGTTGGAATGAGGTCAAAAACACCTAACCACCACCCCTCACCCTGGGCATCATCCAATAGCTGGTGCAGCTGGCATTGATGAGAAACTGGGGCCAGTTGTTGCTGGACATTGGGATGTGATTAGGATCTAAAGGGGTGAGCTGTTTCAATGACAGTGTTAAAGACATGGAACAACGTGGTAAAACTTTCATATTCCCACCTAATCTCCAGGCATTCTTTTCCAGGGATTCCAAGGTCAACCAGGATTTCCAGGACAGCCAGTGAGTGAGACTTCGCATGTTTGGAGATCAGATTGTTAAACGTGTTGTACAGACGGTGGGTGGTGTGTTGTGCGGACGGTGGGTGTAGTTTTTTACAGATGTTTGAATGTAGATTTTTAAATAATGAAGAATTGGAAATGAAATATTTTCTCCAATTGAAGGCTCTGATAAGGGATTCTTCATCATCACGTTCATGAAGAGTGTACAAGGAGTTATAGGTGAAATGTGTTCATGCAGACCATATTTGGATAAGAGAGTGTTGGAGGGAGTGGCTGTTCAGGTTGTTATGTCATACTGATAGAGATTTTGAGACAATTAATATACTGATTTGTCGGGAGGTTTGGGTTCCTGCAGGAATGAGATAATACCTCAGCAAAATGGATTCCCTTTCTGCTGCTACTTTCTTTGGTAGTTTATCTGCATGGAATTATGATTTTCAGAAACACAAGGATCCTGACAGTAAATCAGCAACATTCTGAACTCTACCTTTACTGGTATTTTGTTAGGGACCCATCGGTTTCCCAGGGAAGTCTGGGCCATCTGGACCCCCAGGACCTCCTGGTGAAAAGGTAAGTGCATTCTGGTGAAAAGTGCAGACAATGACCTGAGCAATGGTAGATGTTTGTTGGATGAGGGTATAAAGTGGCTCAGAGTGAAGGTGGGTTTATAGAGCTCAAGTGCAGATCAGCCATGATGGAAATATGTGGCAGAACAGGGCTGAACTTTGCTTTGCTCCAAAGCTATAGACCATACGACAGCATATACCTCTGTGAAGCCATGTAGGCATCCATCTGCTTCTTGTCCATTTCTTCATATGTACCATGTATCAACAACAGAATGAGGAACCTATCTCTGACCAGTGTGGTCCGGTGAATTCCCCACTAGATGTGAGGAAAAGGCTATGGTGAGCTGTGCCTTACACATGGGTCAAAGGTTTTCAGTTTAACTTAGGAAAAGTTAGATGACTGGCCTAAGTCTGGTATGTGAAAGGAACAACTGGAGGTGCTGGAATTGAACCAGGTAAAGGGCAATTTCTATAGAAATGGTGTGCACCTACCGATGAATAGCCTATTTTTCTGTTCTGTGTTACAGGGCAATGATGGGAGTGTGGGTCCAGTTGGACCAACTGGGCCTCCAGGCAGAAGTGGACCTCCAGGACTACAGGTGAGTGTTGCTCCTGCTGGCAGCTGCTTTGTGCTGGCCTTTACAATAGAAGTATGGTGTACAAAAAACTCAGAAGCTCCAATGAACTTTTCTAAACCACTGCTTAGTTCACAGCTTGGGAGGTTGCATCGAATTTAAGATATCAGAGTTTAGGAAGGATACTGAGGCCTTGGAAGTGGGTAGAGAGCAGATTGACTGAAATGGGACCAGGGATCTAGATCTTCAGAGGTGTGGTGAGACTGGAGAATTTGGATTTGTTCTGTGGAATTCCCTGCCACAGAAAGCGGGTGATGCTAGAATGTTGAATGTTTTCAAGGAGGAGTTAGATACCATTCATAGGACTAAAGGGATCAAAGTGCATGGGGAGAAAACTGGAACAGAGGATTGAGTTGGCTGATCAGTCATATCCTATTGAATGGTGGAACAGGCTCAAAGGGCTGAATGGCCTACTCCTGCTCCTGTTTTCTATGTTTCTCCTTTGAGCAGAGACAGTTAAAGGGAGATTTTGTGGAGATGCTCAAAATTGTGAATGATTTTGCCAGAGTTGACCAGAAAACACAGACTGAAGATAATGAATGAGAGAACCAGTAGAGTTAATGGTTTTAATTCAGGCATCAGTGTGATCTAGAATGCTGTGTACTACCTAAAAGGCTACTAGTTGCAAATTTAATGATAACTTCCAGAAGGAAATTAGACAAACCCTCAAAAAGGAGAAGTTTGCAAAGCTTTGATAGAGAAACAGTGAACTGAAATTATTTGGATAGCTTTGCAAAGTTAGTGTAGTACTTGTGAATTAGAAGACAAGACGTTAGAATTTGTTTGTAAAAGGATGGGGGCGGGGGCACGGAAGAGTGCGCAGTCCCTTTAAAAGATGTGTTTTTTAGGCTTGGAGATTTAAAAAAATGTCTGCAAGCAGCAGCAGATGCAGAGTTCTTGATTTTAAAACACTGTATCAAAAGTCTATACTGTTAGGAGGCAAAGCAGCATTTTTACCAAGATAACAGGTTTTTGAACTTAGCCAATAAAATGAAACCAGGCCCTAGATATCAAAGCCCATTTAAACTTAAATCTGATGGTTTTCACAACCTCAGACCAATCTTCTTGTAAGAAATTAATAGGTCATCAAGAGGGCATTTGAAAATCAGTGTGAGAACAAACTGCCATCTGTTAAGAGAACAGCTCTCAGCAGCCATCAGCTCTAAAGAAAGAAAATCCCTGGATCTCACAGAAATCTTTAAGATCTCAAAGCAAGCACCATCTAATTAAAGGTACAATGGCACACTTAGCTAAATATTTTTGACACAAGAATTTGACAGAGGAAGGCATTCCTGACTGGAGGACAATGGAGAAGGCAAAGAACATTCTGGAAGACTAATCCTGGCTGTAATTTTGAGACATTAAGCTTTAATTTAATTTTGGTTTTATTTATTTGGTTTATAAAGGTATCTTTTGGAACAGCATACCATTAGAATTTTGTTTTATTCGGGAATAGTTAGTAGCTAAGGGGGAATTGTTCACTTTGTTAGTGGTTCTGGTAATTTGTTAACTGTTAAAAGTTAGATAAATAAATGGTTACTTGTTGATTATAAAGTGAGTATCAGGGATTTCTTTCATTTAACCACTCCTTTATAACAGATTACGAGGTGAGACAAGTTTCTCTGGGGGTTTCACTTTTCACTATGAAAGAGATGTCAACCACTCCTTTGTAATAATTGGCAGTGGCATAATGGGCTGAATGGTCTCTTTTCATGCTATATCATTAATCCACCTAAGGTCACTGATGGTCAATGACTTGATTTGAATCCCATGACGTTGTCTAGGTCAGAATGAGTTTGTCTACCCAGAGATCAAATAACAGATTGCAACTCCAGTAATAGCATCTGGGGTTCTCCTCATCAGACCCTGTAACTCGGTGGAAAGCTATATTTGCAGTTTCTCCTTCAATTTTTCGTCAAGTGTACGATCCACATACAACTGGGTCTGTGGATATTTTAATCCTAGATTTTGTCCAAAGCTCACTCAAATTACAAAAATTCAGTGTCTCAATCCAAACATTCACCCAGACGATCTCAATGACAAAGGATGTGAGTGCGGTGTAAGGCTAGATTTTATTGGCTGCCTACAGGAAGGAAAGCAGGGGGCAGAAGCTGTAATTCAGGGCGTTGTGCCACGGTTGGTGTGCACACTGCCCCTGCCCTCAATACGATTTCACGAGCAGCAGGAGAGGCAGTGATTGGGCCAGTTGAGGCCCTACACCTGCAATACGAGAGGCCTGTAACCAATGTGCAGCTCAGCAAGTTTGTAGGTGTTCAGTGAAAGGAGGGGCGGTGTTTCCTTCATAGATCCCCAATCAGAGACCCCCACCTACCCTAGAGTTTACCCACCCCCATTGTTCTACCTTCTCCCCACTGCCTTATCCAATGTGCCCCTTCCCTGGGCCTGCCAGCTGGCCCTAGTGAGTTCCTACTCACTAGGGCATCCTAATCCTAACGCTATTGTATTTTTTTTTGGGTGTCCTGCCATTCCGACAGTTTGCCCACTGTTCCCGATTGTGCCTCTAAATGGTTAGCAACTCTGTGAGACTTCCACCTGGACAGGGACAGTCATCTCTCTTCATAATAGTTCACTTCCAAAACTGGGCTCGTAATGAAGAATTATAATCTCCCTCTGGCATTTTGAGAATTTTAATTCTGTTTCAACATTTTGTTTTGAGAATGCTGGTATCTGTAAAAGTTGCTGGTTGGCTATCATCATAGAATCCCTACAGTGTGGGGAGAGGCCCTTCAGTCCAACAAGTCCATACTAACCCTCAGAGCATCCCACCCAGACCCATCTACCTAATCTACACATCCCTGAACACTATGGGCAATTTAGCATGGCCAATCCACTTAGCCTGCACATCTTTGGACTGTGGGAGGAAACCGGAGGAAACCCACACAGACACAGGGAGAATGTGCAAACTCCACACAGTCGCCCGAGGGTGGAATCGAACCCAGGTCTCTGGCGCTGTGAGGCAGCAGTGCTAACCACTGAGTCACCGTGCCACCCAATGAAAGGTTGCAGACCTGAAACATTAACCCTGTTTCTCTGTTCACAAAAGCCGCAAGATCTGCAGAATATTTCCAGAATGTTGTGTTTTTATTCCTGTTTCCCAATATCCAAGTTTTGTAAATGGAGAGAATGCAAAAGTCTCAGATACAGACTGATACCAACAGCATGGGTTCAATTCCTGCAACAGCTGATGTTACCATAAAGGACTCTGCTTCTCAAACTCTCCCAGTGCCTGAGGCATGAAGGCCCTCAGGTTAAACAACCACCAGTCTTCTCTCTTGAATGAGACAGCAGCCCTATAGTCCAGTAGGACTATAACAAATTTACCTTTATCTGTAACAGTAACCATGAAGTGTCAGATTGTTGTAAAAACTCAACTGAATCACAATATCCTCAGTCTGCTCTATGTCTGACTTCAATCCTATTCCCTCAATTTGCACTCTGTCATAACAAATCCAAACAAAGGCCCACCATCACTTTCTTGGGGCAACTGGGGCATGTTTGTAAATGCTCATTCAGGTATCAGCATCAAGCTGCACAGGTCTGGGTCACAAGTATTAAATGTGGTGTATAGCCCCAACCTTGTAATCATCCTTCAATTCACCAGTTTCATATTTTAACCATCTCAAAATATTATACAATCTCCACTATCTTTTTGAAAGCAAAATACTGTAAGTGCTGGAAATCTGAAACAAACACAGAATGCTGGAGAAACTAAGTGGGCCTGGCAGCATCTGTGGACAGAGAAAAACAGAGTTAATATTTTGAGTCTGATATGACTGTTTCTCAGACCTCTTCGTGTGGTCTCCGTGGGTACAGAAAATAAGTGTCAGTCTAATCCTGACCCTAACCTCTAATTGGATTCACACCATTCCTGATTCATCTCACACAGGAAGCCTGCAGTCCATCAGTTTGGACTATATATGAACTAGGACCTATTTCGAAAGGTCAATATTCAATCCACAGCCTGATCAAAATCTTAACCACGTCACCATCTCTTCAGGAAGGCCAATCGAAGACTGCACCAGGCTGAAAAATGAAAGTCTGGATAAATACCAGATCCAAGTTCATGTGCCAGTCTATGGAAGCTACAGCTACAGTCTGACCCAGTTATAAAATCACATAAGATCCACATCCACCAAACACAATAATGTTTGATGATTTAGTATGTTTCAATATTGCCTAACAATTTTGCAGTGACTGATGAAACCAAAGCAGGTATTTTGTTCAAGTGTAGGATCGTGGAAATGTTAACTGGACTGGGCTTGAGTGGGCATTAGGACGATAGAGCCAAATGGGGTGGCTGATCTGAAGTGGTCTTTTCCTGCATTGCTCTAGCACCCTCCTGAGATATGTTGTGTTTGTTCTTTCTGCAGGGTCCTCCAGGAATAGAAGGTCTGGATGGGAAGGAAGGGAAGCCAGGACTAAGGGTAGGACATTAGCCTCATATCCAATGCTTGTTGCTGCTCTTGGGAAGGGGCAGAGTCACTGACAGCGTCTGTTTTGTGTTGCAGGGTGAGACTGGTCCACCAGGACCCCCAGGGCTCAGGGGGCTGCATGTAAGTACTTGTACCATCCAACCACTCCCTTCTTTTGTTTCTGATCATGCAAGTAATTATAAATCCTTACCTACCTCAAATAACATTGGAAATTACAGGATTAAGGGGACAATTTGCATAAACTTTATTTGTATTTCTTGGAAGTTACAGCATTGAGGCTTGATGCAATCAAGGTGTTTAAAACAATCTGAAGGTTTGCTGGGGTCGGTGAAGAAAAACTAGTTTCTCAGATAAAAGAGCCCAGAGCAAGGGGGAAGACCCTTCACAATACAGCTACACAACTAGGCCTGAAGTCAGGAAACATTTCCTCACACAAAGAGGAGTGGCAAGTTAGAATTCTGTTGGCAGAAGGCTAATGGAAGCCGTCAGACAATTAATACCTTTCAAAAATAGGATGGATTGAATTTTGCTATGGAAGAGGTTTGCAGTGCTAAGGGGACGGTTTGTGTAATTCCTTAGAACAGAGACATATTCTAACTGTTTTCCTTCTTTTGACAGGGATTTAAAGGAAAACCTGGCCTTCCAGGTCAGCCTGGACAGAGAGTAAGTATCCGCAAGTGAGCAATTATGTTCAAGGATAATGGAGTCCATGCATGTGTTTAATTCTGGAGATGGTGTAGGTGTACGTAGGTACGATTTTAGGGTTGGAGGAGCATGATTCAGTTCATGAGACAGAATCTGGAATAGTGTTCTGCTGAGAAGTGTTGAGGAGATAATATCTTAATATTCCAGATACTCAAAGGAAGCTGGAAACAATTTCTAGATTGTTACCTGAGTGACAGAGAGACAATCCATTGAGGGGTTTCAGTGTGTGGCAAAGGGCTACTGTGGAAGGCAGAGCTTCATCACATGAGCCACTGGTATCAGGACTGGGCAAAGAGCAGGGTGACATACAGGCAAGGGTCAATTCAGAAGCACCAAGGCAAATAAACGGCACGGTGGCTCAGTGGTTAGCACTGCTGCCTCACAGTACCAGGGACCCGGGTTCAATTCCAGCCTCGGGCAACTGTCTGTGTGGAGTTTACACATTCCCCCTGTGTCTGCATGGGTTTCCTCCGGGTGCTCCGGATTCCTCCCACAGTCCAAAGATGTGCACGTTAGGTGGATTGGCCATGCTAAATTGCCCATAGTGTTCAGGGATGTGTAGATTAGGTGGGTTATAGGGGGATGGGTCTGGGTGGGGGGATGCTCCAAGATCAGTGTGGACTTGTTGGGCTGAAGGGCCTGTTTTCACACTGTAGGGATTCTTAAAAAAAAATGCTGAGGCCCTGGAACAGGGTGGTGTATTTGAGTAAAAATAAGCAGAGATAGAGTAACAAAGATAACAGATAATTAGTGACTAAGGGCATGAGAGGGACAAAATTGGAAGATATCAAAGTTCATAGTGCTATATCTGAATGCCAGAAGTGCTCACAATAAATTGGATAAATTAGAAGTTCAGGTGGACATGAATAGGTTGAATTGAATAGCCTTCACAGAAACAGGGCCAGAATTGAATCACCTTTGACGTTCTTCTGCCACAGGGACCAACTGCATGTCCCTGTGTATCCCCCAGATAGATAATGTGGTGTCATTTATCTCCAGTGGAGCAGCCATGTGTGAGACTGCCTCTGAATTCAGCATGGCTGCAGGGTTCCTGAGGCAGGAGGCCCGAAGCTGCTGGTGCCTGGCAGCCTGAGTGGGAGAAGTGGGATCTCCTGAGAAGATTCCCACAGCAGCAACTCCTTATTCACACATAGACTCCAAGGTGGCCATGATCGGTGATGCATCATACATATAGGAGCAGGTGGGGGCCATTTGGCCCGTTGAGTGTGCTACACCATTCAGTGAGGTTGTGGCTGATCTGATAATCCCCAATTTCATTTTCCTGCCTTTTCTCCATAACCTTTGATTCCTTTACTGATTAAAAATCTGTCTGTCTCAGCCTTGAAT